CATGTGAGTAACAAAAAACTGATATACCACACTTTCCATAGTTTTTGTAGAACTAAATTTGGGGCAATGGTCTCATAATTTAAGAGTTGTATTAATGGGTTCATACTTCAGACATTTTTGACGGCATATTGAGATCAACATACAATTTACTAACGCCCTCTGTCATGAAATTGAAAAGCACCCTATTTCAATACACAAAACTGCATAATTACACACCACTTTTCTATATTTTGTTTGCCATTCTACATTTTCGTGAATAATGTCAATTCTTGGCTGTGCACCAAATACATCGGGATGTAGGTCAATTAGTCCCAGCTTCTGTTCTTCCACAGTGTTGAGGTTTTCAACCCAAGCTTGTTGTACTCTTTTGTACTCAGGAGGGCAAGCTAGTGTTCTGCGTATAATCGGTGTAGTGGAGAGACTGCTATTAGAAACTGAAACATCAAGAAGTTATACCACAAATCATCCAATACTTGCATTTATCAGCGCATAACAGACATTTTACAAGTCAGGTATTATTAACTTAACACAAGGGTCTGTTGTATTTATTTGTGACACACATTCCCAGCTGAAACAAATTTGGTTAACTTTTATATTAACGTAAAGTTGTTAACCAACTGCACCTTCACCATCTGAAGAAACAGACGTTGAATCAAATCGTCTTCCTCCACATACTCTGTTTATCGGGTCCAGTAATATTTTTGGCGTAATAGAAATACGTGAAAATAAATAAATTCTGTTTACGACTGCCATCTTACAAGCAGTGGCACCAACCTGAGTTGACCCACGCTGGTAGGTAGAATAACTATGGTGCCAATGTACCAACATTACCTCTTAAAAATGACTTTCGTAAAACGTAGAATTAATTTACATTCAGCAGTCGTAATAGGCCTAAACCAAGGGTGTAAGAAATGTATTAGTACAAATGCAGTACTTGTTTCTAATACAACTGTATATAACATAGTTATGACAGTGTTGATGTTTTCAACGCGGTGACGATGGTGGCGTCGTGTGGACTGATTGATAGGTGATATTGGCCAGAACCTAAAAGAACATCAATTCCGTTACCATTCCTAATAAGATTCAACGTGGATCTTTGAAATCGTCATGGCTACTATAGCCGGCGATGCTTTCTCTTTCGTGTGGCCTGTATAATCCCGTCATAAGAAATGTACTTTGTCGATACGCCTCTTCCTTTCCGGAAAACCGTGGACACTGGACTTTCGTTATTGATGTGGAAATCGTTTCATGTCGTCGAGTACACTCTTGTCTCTTGGGGTGCTTTGATGCAGTCACCATGCCGTTAGCATATAACGATTACGTAAAACGAGAAACCTGTAACAGTCGAAATTTTAATGTTAAACTGACTTCAGAATTTTTTTATGGTTCGCGTATCATCTGCACCACATTTCCTGATAAGCCTGGTGAAGATTTGAATAGAGTAATATGTTTCAAAAAATTTTCATGGATATATTGCTTACGTGCCTCAGTAGAGTAATATGTTTCAAAATTTGTTCATGGATATATTGCTTACGTGCCTCATAATACTTAATATAGACACGAATGTACGAAAACACTTGTATTTGATATTGTCATTTGCATGTTATTTGCTTTTATCTTTAGGTTAAATTTAGTGGGTGGTCTATAATTACTACCAAATACGTGGGACAGGGTCCTTCGAATGGTGCTACCACACATCCCATCTGATGTAACAGATGACGTAGTTCATTAGGGTATTGGTGTATAGGTTGGTATTACAGTATTAACTTTGGTGTGTTCCGAGTTTATGGCGGTTTAAATTTGCAAATTATAGAGATAAAAGTTCAATTTAATTAATTTTTAGAGACTCGTGAGAAATTTATACATTTTTGTAACATGTTTTGTGAGAAGGCGTTCGAATTAATCAAAGAACTTCATCGATCACCTGATATATTGCCATTATTTAATGTAAGTATTTATTATATTTACTGCATTAAGATAGGGCAATGGCATCCGTTGTCAACAGGTAAAAAGAGTAACCTGAAAGGAAACATTTGTATAAGTGGGATAATAGGTTGTTTTTTGTTATTATTTTTATTTTATGGGATGCTTACTTATGCTAACCTTAGTTAAGATTACATAGTGTCTCTAATTAAGTGATGTTCTGATGGCAGAAGTTCTCAAATTTTGGAAACACAACTTTATAAGACTAGAATCTATGCTGGAGCAACCAGAGTTATGGTTGTTGTCCCAAATTCATCTGATTGTATATTAGGTTGGTTTCCTGATTTAGGCCATGGTCTTCATCTTAGCCTGTAGGGTTACAGAATAGAATTGAACAGAATTTTTACATTACATAAATCCTTTATAAAGCAAAAGATGTAGAACATGTGATGATATTGACACAGTTTTTAATACCAAATATATATTTGTTATAACTAACTAACTAACTAGATGGCTTACCGAACCCGAAGGTTCATCACCGAATTAACCAAAGCCCTCCACCGGACCCTGTCCTGGGCCAACAAAATCCAGTCTCCTTCAACTCCTATCTCCCATAGATCCCGCCTGAGATTATCCTCCCATCTATGTCTAGGTCTCCCCAGAGGTCTCTTCCCCTCAGGCTTCCCAACCAATACTCGGTGCACACCTCTTGTCCCATCAATGCGCGCTACATGCCCAGCCCATCTCATTCTTCTCGACTTAATCACCCTGACAATACTGGGGGAGGAGTACAGATTTTTAAGCTCATCATTATGCAGTTTTCTCCACGACCCATAAAAAATTTTATAGGAAGGGTCCTGTTTAAAGCAGTGATTTACCTCAAATCTTCCATCTGATTATTTATAATTAAGAAGCAGGATATTTTACTGTGGCATTAATGGAACTGTTGTTGTGTATGTAAAAGAATTAAAGATTTATTACTATTCACTGTACATTATTGTTTTATTATGTGTGTTTTGAGGATTGATGTTACATTGGTTTACTTATTTTACCTGCCATGATGGTTTTTCATCACACTTTCATTGCATTACAGTGTAAGAAAAGAGCTCACATTGATTCCTGATAGTCTCCAAGCTCAAGAACTATTATTTTTATGCTGTGTTGTTCCCCACATCTAGAGTTAATTTCATCAAACATGAGAATACTTATCTGCTCGCCGATCCCCGCTGGGTTTTGAATAGGTAGAAAAATTTCTTTAACCACGTGTTAACAAGATATTGCTTGCGAGGCCTGAAGGGAGGAGACTGCTGGAAAGACCTAGACATAGGTGGAAGGATAACGTTAAGATAAACCTTAGGGATGTAGGAATCGACGGAGCGAAGTGGATGTAGCTAGCTCAGGTTAGAGTCTGGTAGTGGGCTTTTGTGAACACGGTAATGAACCTTCGGGTTCCATGAAGATACTGGGCTATTCTTTGACAAGCTGTGTGTACAATTGACTTTTCAAAGAATTCGCCCACTCCCATCTAGTGTCAAGGTCAAGAATGAGTAGGAGCTATATCGCCTCTCCCCACAAGTGCCTACATGGCATATAGTGCGACAGCTTTACTTTTTTACTTCCTTGACCGTAGAGTGAGTTCCGTACATTGTTTTCCCCTTCCATGTTCCAGCGTTATGATATTTTGTAAGTAAATATAGTAATATTTCATCATATACAATTTTTGTAGTACTTATGTGTTAATTTCAGCTCTTCAGACTTACATATCCTTACTTTAGCATCTGAAAGAAGTGCACGCACATTTTCATTATTATTATTTTTTATCTAGGAAGATGGAGTTCGTCAAGTATTGGAAGAGATGAAAGCACTGTTTGAACACAATCAAAGAGATGTGTAAGTATGTAAGCGAAATGCACTGAAGTAAAAGTAACAATGTACTTCTAGCTTGTAATGCCATACACAATTATAGACACCAACACTTTGGAGATACATACTATCTACATCTTCAGCTCTAAAAAATGGAGACCGTGTTTTTCCGAAACATCGGTTATCTGTCTGTTAGTTCACGTGGTGTCACAACCCAGATGATTATCGTCATCATCTTCACCGCTATGAAAATCTCAAACAGAAGTAAGTTATAACATTTTTGAATTATTGTATTGTGTGTGGAAATTTAAATAGCACATCAAGAATTGAAGATTTTAGTGCTAAATATTAGCAGGAATATGATTGGATGATTGTTCTTTTGCTGCTGTTGTAGTTAGGTTAGGATTATATGTATGTTTACCATTCATTGCATCATGTATTATTTTTTATTTCTTTATGGTGTTTATATTACAGTTTACATTTCTGACATCAAATGTATCTCTTGGTTGGGGGCTGCATCAAGAGTTCATTAAAAAAAGATGCTGAAATCCATGAAATGGTGGTACAAAACATGTGAATATACACCACAAGTGCATTTCAGAGAACCTTCATGATGGGAGCTGGACCGTGAATAAGCGAAACTACAAATGTGGAGGATGCCTGTAGTAAAATTCTGTTGCATGTAGGAATAGACTTTTGAAGGATTGAATTTGATTTTTCTTCACAGTATTGCTTAGTAAAAACTAATGTTTTGCTATTAAATGTATTTCAGAAATGCTCACATAGGTGGGGATGCAAGTTACCTGTCTGGAGTTCATCTGCGTCATACGGCTCTGGAGAGGAACAAAAGATGTCTTCTAGCATATTTGTATGAGCCACTACTATTCTCAACATTTATATACCAGATTGAAATTCCCTGCATCAGTCCCACTCCCTGGATATTTAATTAGATGCACCAGAATATAATTTCTTCATTTGCCTTTGACAGTTCATGTGAAACTTGCATTAAATATGCGTAAAAGCTATCATACCTCTGAAAATGCTTCTCTTTATGGATCAAAGAATTATTACTACAGACCAATACATTTTTAAATAATTCTGCTCAGTGTTATTTGCAAAATTTTGTATTTTGATGATGTGTGTGTTAGGAACGTGGGTTTCTTTCTTCGCATAATTTTTACACAGCAATTTACTGGGAACGGACACACCTGTAATATAAACTTTCAGTGTTTTTTTGGAACTACAGTAATGCTGTGAGTGCCTGCTATGGAATCGAAAGGTTTGTTACTGCGTTCACAAGACCCAGTCCTTACGCACATGAATGAAGTTGACGTCCTCACACCCGTTTGTTTAATATTCATTTTAATATGCTCCTGTACATTCCTTGTTCTTCCAAATGGCCTCTTCCCATCAGGGAGTTTGCTAACTAAAACTTTGTATGCATTTCTCATCTTCATGCTACATGCCTTGTCCATCTCTTCCTCTTTGATTTGATTGCCCTGATATTAATTTTTGAGGTAAAAATTGTGATGTTCTGACTAACTCGCAGTCTGTTTTCCTAATAAAATTATAGTTTTGAATACTGTAAAGCTAACAGCTGACCTGCTATGCGCCATGTAGGCACTAGATGGGGGGTGAACGGTCAGCATCATGCTCCAGCCGTGCTTTATCCCCGTTACCCATTAGATAGGAGACGGTGGGCCCCAGAGCCAGTCTGGATGCAGAGGAAAAAATTCTCTGCCCCTGTCGGGGATCGAACCCCGATCGTCCAGTCCGTAGTGAGTCACTATATTGACTGAGCTACCCCAGGTCATTTTTTTGAATATTATAATCAATTTAATAGGATACATAAAGACAAAAATTCTGAGATGAATGGTGGCAAGCATTACTTGAATTGAATTTGTTCTTCATTTCTTGTGAATGTAAATTTGATATGTTACTGTTAATTCCCGGTATTTGAACATGTTTCCAAAGTATTTTTTTTTTTAGTTCTCTTTGTATTTTGCGTTTGTCCTGACAGAAAGTTGCTTAGGTCCGTGTGAAGTTCATCTTCCGTTAAAGTGAATATTTCTATGTAACTGAAAGATTGAACATGTTTCTATTTTCCTGTAGTTTAGTGGTTACACTCTAAAATGTATCTTATATTTTTCTCAGGATTTATAGCATTAATTAAATACATTCAGAACAATTTGTAATCCTTTGCTCCTAACCATTGGTATCTGACTGAACTGTTGATTATTACAATTACTGCAATTGAGGAAACTCACAGAGAAAAAGTGTTTAAGCCAGAGAGCGTCAGATGTGAGTCCACTACAACCTTATATTTGAATACGTTTCCTAAGTTTGTACTAATCTCTAAGCACTTGATTAGCATTACTCTGTACCAATAATAGAGCGATGTGTAAGTAGTTCATTATTTAGGTACGATCGTCTCGTGAGGATACGGCATATGAGATGGGAATTTGGGAGTATCTTGCCGCCTGAAGTTAAATACAATCTCTGTGAGCCTGAGGTATGTAAAATATAATTTTGTCCTTATATACAGGTTTTTACTACATTATTAATGTATTTTAATATTTCTGTATGTTATGTGTTTGTAGGAACACTTTGATTTGTTTCAGATTCTGTGGTTCAATAAATACAGTAAGTCACTTGCAAATTACATGAAGTCAGTTGGAGACAGTCATGGTTTGAACCTCACGCAAGACACTAAACCTCCAAAGTCTCTTTACATAGAGGTGAGGGATTATTACTGATAAACCTGCTCGGAATATAATCGTGAGGTGCCGTGTTAATTTCTCATTTCATAGAATTGTCCTCTGGTGGTGGGTGATGACAGTGAATGGTGTTACCGCCCTGTTTGCCTGAGACATTACTGCCTTTTTCCAATTTCTAATCCTCAGGAGCAGTGTGACATCCGTTTGAACTGCGTCCTCCCACCCGTGTCAGCTATCCTTATCGAGTTGAATCAAAGTACTCGAGGACTCTCATGTGTAAATATATTATTGTAATCGTCCCTGAAGAAACCTAGAAATCTGTAGAAACCTTTAGTAGAAGGATAACAGGGCCAGTGCGTTGATACAAAGTCTTTAGTGACCAAAGCACTTTCGTAAGACGCGAGCAGTGCGTAATTTTTAACTTTTGATGTTCTTAATTCTATTCCTTTGTCCTGAGCGATTCTTGAAATTTACAGTTTGTTATGGATTTGTGTTTGTATGCTGTTTTAGGTTCGCTGTCAGGTTGATTATGGCAAATTTGAATTAGATGATGGCGAAACAGTTCTGCTCAAGAAAAACAGCCAACATCTGCTGCCTCGTGCTCAATGCGAACCCCTCATACGGCAAGGCATCCTCGAACACATCGTACATTAATGTCTGGAAGGGGAATTGGCACAAAACTCTTTAGTGCCTACGATTTCTCAATCGAAACAGAGCAATAGATATGACTGTATTGCAGTTTTATATAATTTTCTTTATTGCGCTCGTGTCGCACATTTGTAGTTGCGATGTTAAATACATTGAAGTCCATTTAGAGTTGTGTTAAAATTATAAATATTTCAGACAACTCGCTGGTGTTATGGGACTTAAAACTATCGATTGACACCACAAGAATTCCTTATCCTGTAGCCTGTCCAGGGTGAGCTTTGTCTAGTTACAGAAATATTGCAGTTGTTGTTCCTTGGCTCTACAACCCGTTTGTGGGTTTTCGCCGTCTTATTTTTCAGATGTTTCTTCGTCTTTAAAGCGTGCATTTGTGAGTAGTGAGCGACCATCAAACTGACTGCACAATTTCTACTCAATCCTGATTTGACTGCCAGAGCCATCTAGCAGTGAATCAGGAAACTACTTCTGGGTGAGAAGTGGCCGCTGAATTTTGCATACGAAACATCTCGTATCATGCTCGTAAGGTTCTTTTACATGACGTAAATCTACGAAGGAAGTTGGCATTTATTTATTTCACAAAACTGACTATATGATTTAAATTTGGGGATTTGTAGTAACATTATTTCAACGTAAAAAGTGAAGCTTTCACGGCGACTGAAGTTGATGAAGGATTCTCGGTTCACAAGCCGTGTCAGGTGGCTGAACGGTGAATAAAACGGGCTACTAGCAACATCATACTACCTGCCGTCCACCGCCATTTTACCATCAGCGAGCGCACAACAAAGGATCAGATTTGTTACCCAGCAGCCCTGAGGATGAGAGCAGAGATTGGTCTCGAAACGTTGGCAGAAGATATGGTTTATTCATCGTTGAGCCACCTGATGCGGCTTGTAACCCAAGAATCATTCATCGTTATTTAAACATCACGGTCATACTCAGGATAATGTTCATATAGTTTGGATATAAACTAAGTAAAAGTACTGAATATATTTTAATTTCATCATTTTATCTATTATGATGCTGTCATAATATTATCATTAACATTTCCTTGTGTCAAAATTATAAAATTTGTTAAATGATATAAGATTATAAAACAAAATGTATGATATTATTTATCCAATTAAAACCAAAAATTCAGGGTTTTCTTTCGATTAAACGTGCGGGTGACCGTAGTGTTTCAAGAATGAATGTTAAATCTGTTTTTGCAATTAGGTCTACTGAATAGCCAGGCTCTCAGATTACAATTCGGATTAAGGCACAGCCATTCTATAGTTCGTGCCTCTAAAATCTGCTCACGCCACTGGATGAACAGAACACGCCTCAGAAGTAAGGTTAGGTTATCTCATACATTTACCTGATCATAATCAGGACTTATCTGCCAATTGATCAGTGATCTTATTTGCAAGAACTGTAATAAACATTACGAAATAATTGATGACTATCCCCTCCTGCCAGTGTCTGTGACATCTCGGGCTTAAGAAATCTCACAAAATAGATTTTTACGTGATAAATTGGAGCCTTATCTCTTTTATTCAAAAACTGTTTCATAATAGCGATTTGTATTATAATGACGTCTTGTTGTTACACCCACATTCCCTATCTTGTACTCACCGTACACACAGATAACGCTTGAACCTTGTTTATGAGGTCGCCATTCGTCTAATCACGTTACGTGATCTGAGAATTGTTTTTCGGATATTTTTGTGCTGAAGAACTCAAACCCCCGTCTCCCGAGTGGTCCCCTCCGTTCAGGATTTCCCTCACACCGACACAAAAAAGGGGTAGATAATACTTCTGTGTGTTTTAGCAGCGGTTCTCAACATTTCCCATACCTAGAGTCGCATTAACCCCTTCTTATCGATCAGCGGTCTTCAAGGTTATGAATGATGACAATTTATTTAAACATTATATCATTTATTAACAATTCTAATACCTTATTTATACAAGCAGGTTCATTAACTCAATGATTTTCGTTGACCAGCCCCATATGTACTCATCTGGTATCGAACTTGGACCGAACAGGAAGAAGGCTTGCGTTGTTGCCACACCGAGATCTTAGAATTTACACTTGGGTTCTTTGATGTATTCGTGATTATTCAACATCGGCTTCTTTCGACACGAGCGCTAGAGTTCTGATTGGCTTAGATCCGCAACGATTCATAGAACTTAAAGATATGTATGAAAATTCCAGAGATGAAAACCACAGAGAATTTCCTGTACACATAATGTTGATAATTATGCAGACCCATTGTGATGATGAGTTTCTACACATGTATGTGTTAAGGTAATTGTCAATCTGCTGACTTCTGATTCAGCTTTCAGTGTTCGGCAGCACAGTAACCTAAAATTACACGTCTGTGTACTACATTACTGGACAGACATCTGTCGTCCATGCACTGCACTGCGCCAATCATACGAGGTTTGAGGTTAGGAACGCTCACATTTATAAAGAACATTGTATCGTTGCCCGTGATACACCACCCACTAATTGAGGTAATTATTCCATTAAAACTGTTTTTATGAGACCTCTGATAACACAGGCCGTACCTCGTTAGGTCCTGTGAGGAGATCTCCAATTAATCGAGGCCAAACATTCATTATAAATCGATACTTCATTGTTGCCATATCTCGCTAACAAAGCGATTGAGACCATTAGTTATCCCTACCAAACGAACACTGAAGTTTCCTCGCGGCCGATATATTATTTTGCATCCTGCAAAGAATATCCTTTAACAATCGCGTATTACCGAATGATTTATTGTCCACAAAAATCAGATGGCCTTATTTTATACGAAGCTAGTGCCATAGCCGTCGTGTTGGTATTATTGATGGCAGGAAATTATAAAAAAAATGTGAAAGTGAAGTGGCCTCCGATGAGTGAATGATCTTCATACCAATTTTCATGAAAATCCGTTCTTTAAAAGTTATTAAAGGGGACACATGGTTATGATGATACCTTGAGCATCGTAATTTTGCTTTAAAAACACAAAAATTCATGTCATTTGGTTTACGCAGATGGAGTTCAACGTAAGAACTTCTGCTTTCGGAGTTGAACTGCGCCGAGTGTTGAAAATTATTCACATCCACCCTGAGGATGGCAACTGCAATGTTTGGCGAAACATATAATTTTTAACATTCGACGCGGCTCACCCCCGAAATCCGAAGTTGTACAAAGACTGAGATTTTTCATGTTTTTACTCAGTGACACTCAGAGCACAGTCAATTGCAAATGGAAACTGAGATGAAACATGAGATGGCCTCGTTACAGTATCTTAGCAGAAATACACTGGAAGGGAGGGCAAATCCCCCAGAATACATGTGTGTCAGAGTACAGTTTGTACACGAATTGTAGAGCCCAGAGGAATGTACAGCATTAGGTAATTTTTTTGTTAATATAAGCCCTGAATTGTTGTCCGAATTGTAAGTATGCATCAGTGAAACAATGGATTTTAGATAAAAATATGAAGACTGTTTTCTTGTAAATGTTTTCGTTCTTATAGACTCTCGCGGAACTTAAAAATAAATACTGTAATTATATAAATTGAATAACTAAAAACTAAAACTCACTTTATCGACAGGTTTACAATTTTGAATTCACAGTCCTGTCAAACTTCGTATTCTTTTGAGGTACATAAGAAACACGCCTATAGATTAAGAATTAAATTTTGTAAGTTAACAGTCACAAACATGGTGACGGTGCGAAACAATGTTACATTTGACAAACTGATCGTAGATAGAATATGAGCCTAGTAATTTCTTTCAAATGTAGCCTATAATGATAACAATACCCCCTACGAAGATCAATATCGTTCTTTGATATATTGGTACTTACCACAGGACATAAGTCTCGTGTAACTATCAGATCTAAGAATGCATTGTCAGAAGGGTTCGGTATCACGTAAAGGACAAGGCATTCTCACGAGATATCGAACGATAAGAGTCGAAGTTAAAGTACAGAAATACACATAGCGTACTCTATACGTTGACGTCTGAACTTTTAATAAAGAGTCCCAACAAAATCTGCGAACAGTTAGAACAAATTCTTCAACTCTTGCTGACTCAGAAGCAAATGAACTGAGGAATCGACCTCAGTCGAGTGTGATCTCTCTACGTCGATATACGACATATATCGATCGTATGTTTAAACTTTTGTTACGCAAATTTACGCAGAATAAGAGACCGCTCGGAAGACCCAGGTTTAGGTGGCCGTATAATATTAAAATGGATCTTAGGGAAATTGAATTTGGGGTGTGGATTGGATTCTTCTGGCTTAGGATAGGGACCGGTGGCGGGTTCTTCTGTACACGTTATTGAACTTTCTGGTTGCATACAAGGTAGGAGTGGTAAGAAAAGTGTATAAGGTCTACAATTTTAGTCAGAAAATCTTAGTGCGAGAGAGTACTTGGAAGACCTAGGTGTAGAGGGGAGGATATTATTAAAATTGTTAAGAAAGAAATGGAAATGAGAATGTGGACTGAATTTGACTGATGCAGGATAAACGACTGTGGTGGTGTCTTGTGTAAACGGTTTTATTACTACAATTTGAAAGGGACTCATTATCTCCATCTACAGGGTGTAAATTTGTCAAGCTACAGGCATACATAACGTCATAACCTAGAAGACCACAGTAATCATATTTACCGCCGTGAAAACTCAGATTTTGGTAAAATTCAGTAATGGAGCTTAAGGACCCATAAAATGTAGCAGATTTCTTGACTCGCTGAGCAATTTGTTAGTTAACCTCTCAGGAAGGACTTCGATCCATTGGAGTCTGTTCATTCCAGTGGGTATATGAAGACGATAAACCCAGATGAAAGTTGCTCTGGAAGGCATTTGCAACAGAAAGTACGAATTTTTTCGAAAAGGGCCGGAGACATTCGGAATAAATTTTCGCCAATAGTAGTCTATTTACAGACCAGGATTTAAAAAAATACCGCGTGTCCCAAATATCCCACAAATAGTTAGTTTTTTCTTTAGATGATAATGTTGCGTCATAATAGTTAGTTTTTTCTTTGCAGCGTGAGTTTTTCGATACAGAAGGAAGTCAATTGCAGCTGGTTGTTGATCTCGTGACTTCCGGAGGGCCTTGGTCGCGTTGTGTTGAAGCTGAAATCGATCAACAGTGTCACGCGGTGGGATTTCCCTCTCTTATCTCACTTTTAGCACAATATCCTTGTGTAC